AGGGAAATATAGATACTGTCAAATCCCACTAAGCCTCTTACCACAGAAAATGAAAAGATCTTATTTGCCAACTGTCCTGGATACTTTCAAACAAAACACTGCTAAAAAGAATGTGATTTATTTACTTGTGAGATTGAGGCTTTCAATATTTATTTTGATCATTTTTTCCATTTTCTCAAAATGTGCAGAGGCATTTAATAAGGGTTATCACATGAAATTCACTTTGTTCAAAATCCTTCAGGACCTTATTTCTAAGCAAGTTAATGTAAAATACAGTCAACCAAAAATGAGGACTTCTATCAGAGCAGTGGTTCTCTGCTTGGCTGCCTATTTGATCAACTTAAAATTTTTAACTTTTTAAAAATACCAATGCATGGGTCCTATCCAAAAAGACTGACTTAATTTGTGCAGATATGGACTGGGTATTAAGACTTTTCAGTTTTTATATTTTTTTAATTTAATTATCTATCTACTTTTGCAGTACTGGAGATCAAACCCAGGTGTACTCTGTCACTGAGTACATCTCCAGCCTTTTTTTATTTTGAGACAGGGTTCCACTAAATTTCTAATTTGCCAGGTTGGGCTCAAGCTTGTGATCCTTCTGCCTGTTTCTCGAGTAGCTTGGACTACAGGTGTGTGACACCATACCCAGTGAACAGGCCTTTTTGAAAGCAACACACTTTGTGGTAGAAGCCAGCTACTTTCCTTTAAGATCATAATTTCCTTAAATAATCTGGCTTCTATTTCCATACTTATGTCTGAAATTTTTCAATGGCACTAGTAACCTGCAAAGTGCTGGCTGAAATGTCATTATCGTAGTGACTGCGTCTTTCAACAAAGTCAGTAGGTTCAACAGCAAGCACAAAATCCTCCATTATAACTTGGTAGGTAGTTTACCTACAGTGGAATGGAGACCCTCAGCAATGCTCACTGCTTCCTGGTCATCACTTCTTATCTGCTCATATCCTCATTCCAGTGACTAAAAAATTCTTCCTAGTCTTCCTCAGAATCTTGAGTGCATTTAGTTCACGCAGCCACTTTGGCCGCTGTGCACATCCCCAACACTGCCACCTGCCCCACCCACTATTCCCAGTAACCCCGTCTGTCCCTCATGCCTGCCACTTCTAACTGACCTCCTTGGCTGAACACAGCCACTTCATGAAGTGAGTCAGGAATTTTTAAAGATTTCTTGTTCTCTTAACATTTCGGCCAACAGTTATGTGGTAGAATGGAGCAATGGGTGGCAGCTGTGTCAAGCAGGAAAGGTGGTTAGGGTGATGGTGGCTGCCATGGAGGCAGCTATGACAGGCTGAAGCAATGGTAGCTGCTGGAGCAGTGGGGGGTGGCCATGAAGGTGGCTCCCAAAGTGAAGGCACTGGGTGACAGAAGGCAGCTGCTCTTGCTGGGCAACTTTCTCTCCACCAGAGCCCACTGTGCCTATATGTGTACAGCAACCAGGAAGTGGCAAGGAATAAAAACCCAGACCTCACGTAGACCTCAACCAAATGACAATGGTAATGAGTGTGTAAGTACACGCACACTGGGAGTGGGGACTCTACATGTCCCACTGTTTCCCAGAGTTCCCTAGAGAACTAAGCTGTGGTAATTTGCTTAAAGATGGACCCTTTATATGCTGCTTTCTCTTCTCTGTCTCACTTCCCACTGTCCTACCTGTGCTTTCTGGGATCAACTTCCAATTCCTTGTCTCAGGGTTCCAAGTCGAGACACTGAATCATGAGCTAAGGGTTATGATTCAAGTGCATGTGGCACATTAACAGGAACTGAGCATATGCCAAGCTATAAAGCCTCAACAAACTTCCAAAGATTGAAATCATATAAAATATGTTCCCAAACCAATTGTATTTAGGCAAGATAACTAGAAAAATGCACCATGTGTTTAGAAATTAAGAAATATAATTTTAAACTTCTAAATAATCTGAGATCAATGAAGAAGTCAAAATAGCCATGCTTTGAGAAAATTTTAGTGCACATATTAGAAAAAAGCTGAAAACCAGTGAACTATTAATCCCCAAAAGGCAAAAAGCAAAACCTTTTTTAAAAAGAAATGAGACAATTAATTGAATTCAAATGCACAAAGTAACATCAACAAAGCCAGAAGTTAATTCTGTGCAAAGAATAACAAAATTCATAAACTCTTACCCAGGTTGACCAAGAGAAAAAAAAGGAAGAAGCTACAAATAATCAATGTCAAAAACAGCAAAGGAGCTACTACTACAGATTCCAAAGACCTTAAGATAATGACATTATGAACAAATTCATAGCAATTTGGAAATGTGAGAAATTCCTAGAAAAATATAATTTACCAAAACAGAAGAAGAAATAGAAAGTGAAGTTCTTGTGTTAAATGTGGGCACAAATTCTTTGCAGCCAAATGCCAGCAAGAGGGGTCTTCACCCCCTCAATGTAGGCAGCCTCACGACTGCTTTGATCAGAACAACAATGTAAAGGTGTTATCTTTAAAGTTTCCACTTTCACTGTTTTGTTTTTTGTTTGTTTGTTTGTTTTGGTTTTTTGAGACAAGGTCTCACTATGTAGTTGAGACTGACCTGGAACTCACTAAATAGCCCAGGCTGGTTTTGAATGCACAGCAATCCACTTGCCTCAGCCTCCTGTGTGCTGGGATTACAGGCGTGCACCACCATGCCTGGCACTTTCTTGGTTTTGAACCCAAGACCCTACAAGACTTGTCTAGCTTATTGAAAAGCGCCATGGGGCCAGGGATTTAGCTCAGTGATTCTGCCACCTGCCTCACAAAAGCAAGGTCCCACGTTTGATCCCCAGTACCAAAAAAAAAAAAAAAAAAAACACATGCCACACCGACACACTTCTAGGAGATATTTTAAATTTCAGACGTAGTCTAGGTTTCCATTTTGTCCGTTTTCATTATACTTCTTTTATGCTGCACAGAGTAGAATCCCACCCAAGCTCACTCAAGCGAGCTGAACTTTCACAGAAATCTCAGGCTAAACCTGCAGCTGGGAGCAGAAAGCCACCAGAACTAAGGCAGCACTTTCTGGACCACAGGAACTGATTACAATCCTCTCTCCACTACCTGCCTTTCCTTCTGGCTCAGCAGATGGCATCTGGTTGTTCCTGAAATCCAGGCTATACAGGGTGTCCACCCTGGCTCCTAAACCGACAAACAAGTTTCTTTGTCTTCAAGATTAATCCCCAGGAGAGACTATGATGGGCCATCTCATCTTTCCAAGCCAGAGCCGCCTTAGTTTCAAATGGCTGGTTACTCAATTTCCAGAGATGAAGAGTTGGCCCCAGGGAAAAGCAACCTGTCTAAATAGTAAATCTGGATGCAGGCAAGGGTACCGTTAAACCTAAACTCTGCAGACCAAAGGATCTCTGTAATAAAAAGGTCTCTATTGAGCCATTAAAGATGCCAGCCAGAAAGAGACAGGTTCAGGTCCTGGTGGAACATGTTCCACAATGACCAGCAGCAGGGCTAGACAGCAGTTGGAAATCGTCAGCGGGGCTTTAGTAACAGCACTTTTTAAAATCTATGGGGAAGGAAAGCAGTGTCACTCACACCACCATATAGTTAGCAGGAGTGGGACAGCACAAATGGATCGGGTTTTCAGATAGCAGGGCAGTCCATAAAGAGAAGGAACTGTTTCTTCTGATTGGTGCTAAGAGTCCAGAAATTCTGGACAGTGGCTCTGGTGTCCACTGTGATGCAAACTGATTTCAGGTTTTAAAACATTCAAGAAGGTAACACTATCTTTTGTTCTTATTGGCTTGTAGCTTGTTACTGGTTAATCTCCCCCGTTTGTCCCTACTGCTGTTCTCTGGCCCTCTGTAATTAAACTTAGGACATTTTAGGACTTTTCACTTGTCGACATGCTGGTCCCAGTCTGGGGGGGAGGTCTCTCTGCCCTTTATGACCTCTGACCTGCCCCTACTAGGGAGTCTGCAACCCTGAAGAGAAATACTAGGACATGGGCATCTGCCCAGACCCATCAGGGTCTCTCCTGCCTGCTAAGATGGCTCACTTGGTCCTGTTATTCACTGCTTCCACTCTTCTGAGGCCAGGAGCACACTCAGTCCATACAGGGCAGGCCAGAGTGCCACAAGGTCAACGGCCATGACAACAGCCTTTAGTATATGTGCTGCCGAAGCGAGCACAACAGCCTTTAGTGACAGATGGGCAGTTGGTGGACAAACATCTGCCATCACCTTGCTCCTTGACAGGGTAATTGAGGTCAGCTGTATGCAGCCTCTCAGAGGACTCCCTTGGATTCATGTCCCACAGTGGTAACCAGCTTGAAAATGCCCCCATTACTGGCTGCCTTCCTGCATCTCCCTTCTCTACTCTCTGCCAGTGTTTCTGGACTCAGACTGCAAATACACTATCTACACTGAAATTTTCAGGCTTGGCTTCCAGGGGAAGGCAAAGCAAGACAGAAGAGAAGTCCAGCGCAGCAGACTTGTAAGACAGTCTACCATGTAGATATTTTCAATAACGCTAGTATTTCATCTCCATTGCCCAAAGCTTGGTATCTTTTGCTAGACTATTTTGAATTCATCAGGGAAGGAAGTGTGTTATATATACACTGCTTCCTCCCCAGGCTTCAAGCAAACTTGATAAAACTTGGTGACTGCTAGGATGGAAGAAAAAGGCCCTGTCCCCCATGCATATGCAGCAGTACATAGGGAATGGCTGTTTGGCAGTGCTAACAAGGAAGCAGTTCAGTTAACATGGGTGAACATACTGCACATCTTGTCCTTTCCCTGGTCCTTCTTAGGGTCACCTGAAGCTGAGGGGCAAGATGACCAAGGTTTCTGCTCAGGAGCTAATGGCAGGAACCAAAGTCTAGTGCACAGTCTTTCTTTATTTGCAGCCCAGAAGTTCAGGGAAGCCAGGTTCATAGCACAGGCCTTCAGGACTCAAAACATGGTCACTCTGCAGGGGCTAGGGGTATCAAGAGGCCAGTCACTCATGTCCAGTGTTCCTGAAGTCAAAGGAGTCCTCAGGAGGCAGGAAGTGGCTGAGTCTGTGGAGAAAGCACATCAACATCTTCTGGCACCTCTTCCGTGCCTGGCCTTGGGCTACTGCAGGGGTGATCCTGCAAGCACAGCAGAGGCTTTGCTGGAGGGACAGGGTAGCAGGCAATGACCTTGACATCTGCCATGAAAACAAGCTTGCTGCGGTACACTATCATGGGGAAGGCACCTTTTACTAAGGTCCTGCATGTGCCCAGTATTGTTACAGGTATTAGAGACCCAGCAGGCAAAAATCTTGGACTCAGGGCCAGGGATTTAGCTCAGTGGTTCCGCCACCTGCTTCATAAGCGCAAGGACCTGAGTTCGATCCTGGGTACCAAAAAAAAAAAAAAAAAAAATCTTGGACTCAGAGGGGCTCCACTCAAGCGGGAAGGGACACAACAAATGAACAAAAATATGTTAATGGCGAGAAATCCTCTGTAGTGTCCACTAAAGTAGAAAGCAGGGGTGTGTGTGGAAGAACATGTAGCCTTTTAAACTGTCAGTTACACAGACAAGAGATGCTCCAAAAGCTCTTTATTTCCTGGTACATGAGATGAACATGTCTGTGTGTGTGCTGTTATGCAGACTACAGAACAAAAGAGGCTGGAATTTTACTGTCCCAGTGAGGGAGGAAAAGTTGGAACTGGAATGCCCTTACCAGGAAGTAGGAGGTCAGTAAGCGAGTGTGCTGGAGAGCTATGAGGCTTTAAAAGTGAGACATATGGCCTAATTTCCATTTTTAAGTTTGGCTGCCAAGGAAGAGAAATTATGGGGGTGGGGCGGCCATAGGGAGACTACAGAGAAGCTGGCTGGCTGTCTAGAAAAGGAAGAAGCAATCGGCCTGAAAATGGGAGGGAGGGGCCTTTACTATTTAGATGCACAAAACACTAAGAAGAAATGTTCTTGCTGGGTATGGTGGCACATGTCTGTAATCCCGGTTACTGGGGAGGCAGAGGTAGGAAGACTGCAAGTTCCAGGCCAGCCTGGACAACTTTGACCCTGTCTCATAATAAAATTGAAAAAAAAAAGACTACAGATGTAGGTAAATTATAGAATGAGGCCCTGGGTTCAATCCCCAGAACAGTAAAAAAAAGAGAGGAAGAGGAAAAAAAAAGAAAGGAGGCATGGCACAGTAGCACAGCCCTGTAACCCCCATACTCAGGAAGCCAAGACAGGAGTATCACAAATTCAAGGACACATAGTGAGTTCGAGGCCGTCTTGAACTAAATAACAAGACCCTGTCAAGGAAGGGAAGGAAAAGGGAGGGAAAGGGAGGGGAAGGGAGGAGGGGAGGAAGGAAAGGAGGTAGGGAGGGAGGGAGGGAGAAAGAGAAAGAAAAGCTAGGTGTGGTGGTGCATACTTGTTATCCCAGCACTTGGGAGACTGAGGCAGGAAGATCACCATGAGTTTGTCCCGTCTGGGCTATATAGTGAATTCAAGGCCAGCCTGAATTACCTTGTCTTGGAAAAAAATAAAAAAGGAAGAGAAAGAAAGAAAAGAAGAAATATTCCTAACAGCCCGGAAACTAGTATGGATACTATGTGATCATTATAGAAAGTTTTCTGAGGAGAACAAAAAATTTGGCTGGTTTCTGCTCTTAGAGTCTGAACTTTTCATTTATTTCCATTTTTAAAAGAAGCAGTGATGACTGGTCTTGATTAGAAAGGCATCTCCGCAGTCTTTAGCCAACAACTCCTCTAAAGCAGGAAATACTAGCACAGCAGAAGGATGTACGTCATGATCGGAGCTCATTGACCCTGGAAGCCTGGGAGCAAAGATGGGGCATTAGGAGAGGTTTCCTGAGAGAAGTACCATGTAAGGTAAAATAAGAATCAGCCAGAATATGGACAGGAAGGGCAGCCCATACAGAGGGAAAGAGCTGATCAGAAGCAGGAGAGATATGTGGTTATGTAACTGCACATTCACTGGGGCAGGAGCATGGAGCTTGAGGGGGAAAGTAAGGACAGGTGGGGCCAGAGATCACGATCCCAGGTTGTGCTGGAGTTGGCCTGGTGGAAGTAAGAGCCTCAGAAAGGTTTCTAAATAGAAGCAGAACATGGTCAGATTTCTTTTTAGATCATTCTGGGACTGTCACAGGGAAAGGCCTGAAAAGGATAAGATGGAACATGGAGACCCAGGAGAAGGCTAGTCTAGGGGTACAAGAGAAGATGAGACTGCAGAAATGGAGAGAGGGCCACAGGGGAGGGTGTTCAGAGGGGATGGTGAAAGGTATCGTTTTCCTTTGTTGTTCACAGTCCAAAGGGAGAGGTGGTAAACATCTAAAGGAGTTTTTCTTTTACTACCTCAGATATACTATATATGTTCAAAAGGATAATTTTTTTTCCAACTCCATCCTACTCCCTCTGTTATTACAGCTGAAAAGCAGTGAAAGGGAGAGAAGGCATAATGAGAGAGGTAGATGAGGTCAGCTTTGGTAAGAAAGGAGAGAACTTAGCAATGACCTGGGATTTTATTCTTAATATAAATGGGAAGCTACTAGAGAGTTGTAAGCAAATGTGTAATGTGAATAGATTTCAGTCCACTGCATGGAGGCAAGAAGAGATTCAGGGAAACTAGGGAGAAGGCTGGGGCAGGTATCCTGACAGAGGGTAGGCAAAGTGGCTGGACTAAAGTAGGGGATGTAGGAGGGTGACAACAGGTGACCACGTTCTGGATTCTGGGTGCATGGTGAAGGCATGTGGGGAAGGAGAGCTGAAGACTTGAAAGTCCGTACTTTGAGCAACCAGAAAGATGAAGGAGGTTGTAAGGGGGAAAGAGAAGGTGCTCAGATGAGCCTGCTTTACCTCTACAGGTGTGGGAGAATGTGGCAGCTGCACCCGCTCAGCACACTGCAGGAAGCGGCGCACATGTTCAGTACAGTTTCCCATGGCTGCCTCATTCTGCCGAAGACACTCCTCAAAGGCCTCAAAAGGCTCAGCACAGGCCTGGCGGATCTGGCGGATGATTGGGCTGTGGGGAGCAAGCATTTGAGACCCACGAACACTCCTACTCCACTGTCCACTTCCCACTTCACTCCCCAACCAATCTCATGCTTGCCCACACTCACTGGGCGGATGTGCACCGGGCAATGCTCATCTTAAGGTAGTGACAGTCCCGCTGCCATGACTCAGGTTTTGCTGCCACACACTGACCATATTGATCCAGCTCCCGGCCACAGTAGCGAGCAGTGATCTCCAGGGCCGCCTGCCTGTGGGCAAAGTAGGTTGAGGATAATTTGAGAGAACAGGCAAGAAAAGGAGGTCTCACCTAGGTCTAAGTATGAGTAAGGTTGTCGGGGAGGAGGCAGATCTAGGAATTCTAAGGATTCTAGGATGGGAATAGGGAAAGGCAGAGGTGAGGCCTGAGCCCTGGGTGCTATGAAATAGGGTGAGAGCTTCTGGGGAGATAGTGGAGGTCCTAATAACAAGATATGAATATTTTAAGGCAGGTCTTAAATTATGTCGGAGTTTATAGAATCCCTGACATAGGACTGGGGATCATGCACAAAAGATTTGGGGAGAGAAACTGGAAGATTTAATTGGGTTTGGGGGTCCTATAAATGAGGTTTGGAGCCCAAAATGTGAGGTCTTGGGTTCTGGTGAAGTCTCTTGACCAAAAAATTTTAGAGTTGTGGCCTGGAGATGAGACCTAAGGCTTTGTTGTTTGAGGGTCCTGGGGTGGGAGTAAATGTTCTAGTGGCATGATTTGAAAGCCCTGGGTAAGGCTGGGCCTATGGTGGATCTGGAGAGTCATATGGTGTGTCAAGGTCAGAAATTCAGAGTAAGGGTCTAGAAAGAAGTCTGTGGGCACTAGAGGTCTGGGTCCTTGGCAGGTGTGGAAAGCTCGAGGTACGATCTGATGATCCAAGGGGAGAAATGTAAAGCTCTAAGGACAAACTGGAGTCTTACAGGTTCTTAAACAAGGATATAGTTCCAGGGTAGCAAAGTCAGGGATACCGCCCTCGGGGCGGAGCTTGGGTGATAGCCAAAAGGAAGAGGGAGGACCTAACCCTCGGAGGGCCAGGCCTGGGCCTGAGCAGATGGGGTGTGTCAATCCTGAGGGTCAGTCTCCATGGAACCGAGAGGCAGGTTGTTCGTCTTGGGGTCCAGAGCTAAGCGCGGGTCATAGGGAAGCGGAGACAACAGTAAGCTCGGGGCAGGCGTTCCCGTTACTCACATGTGGGTGCAGCTGTGGATCTGCCGAGGAGAGACCCGCCTTTTCCGCTATCGGGTTGTCAAGGCGGGGCCCAGCCAGCCTTCTCTGATTCGCTCGTCCGGTCGAAGAGCGACTAGCAGTACTGGCAGTTCAGGCTCCACCCGTCAGGGCAATGCCCTTCATAGCTACTTCCGTCTACTTCCCGGCCACTACGCAGCGACAGACCCTTCTACTTCCGGCTTGCCATGGCGGCGCCCAGGGTTCCCAGGAAGTAGTCGGAAGAACTGCGGCGTCTGGATCCCAAAGCAACCGCAGGCTCTTTGGGGCTGAGACACTGTCAAACGCGCCCCAGCTATCCTGAGTGGAATTAGTGGTGAGCGGCTGCCACTGCTATGGCCCCTCAACATGCTGTCTCTTGAGGCTCTGTTGGGTTTGGTGGCTGCCAGAGTCTGGACGCAAGGACGGGGCTCAGACTTACTAACGTTGCGCTGCCACCATCGGCCTTGTACAGGTGTTCACAAACCTCCTGTAACACTGGTTCGCGCGAGTGAGCCGATCTGGTGAAGAGGCATCCCAAGAGCTGGTCCAGGTGGATTTGGGCCACCCATCTTCTCGGCCTATGTTACCCCTTCCCATTCTCCTTGCTCTTTAGCAAAGGCTCTAAAGTCAGGAGGAATGTGTGTGTGTGTGTGTGTGTGTGTGTGTGTGTGTGTGTGTGTGTGTGTGTGTGTGTTTTAATTAAGTTTATTTGTACATTTTAGGTATACAGTACAGTTACATTCATTATTGGGATCTTGTACCTTTACATGACAGGTCTTAGTTCTCATTTTTTTCCCCTTGTCCCTGCCCTCCCTTCACCCCATCCTCCCCTCCCCATTTACAAACACTTTATTTCCATTTTTTCATATTTTTTTCTTTTCCCTTATTCCCTTTCCCCTACCCTTCCCACTTTCCCTACACCTTTAGCCCTTTTCTTCCTATTCCACGTTGTCAATAGGAATGTGTTTTAATCCTGCTTTTATGAGACTATGAACGAGTTACTTCCTCTTTTAGTAATTCCTCCTTGTATGTCAACGTTTTCACCTTCTAATCTGCCTTCAAAGTATCAAGTTAGACCTCTGCATTTTTTCCTCCATTTATGAGGGTGGTTATCCCTTTGTCAGAGAACTATTTGTCTTGTCATCTGGTATGCAGAGGTCTTCCAAGACTCCAGTCAAAATGAACAGAAAATGCAGTCATTCATACTGTTTAAAGATGAACAATAGCTATGTGTGAGTAATTGACAAGCCATCTATATTTGTGTGTTCATCTGTAAAATGAGAATGATAACAGTGACTTCTTCCACATAGGACGTAGTGTAAGGGAACAGTTTTGCACAGAGCCCAGACCCATGGGAGTTCCAAATAACTGAGAGCTGTTGCAGGTGTCTTATCATGAGCTGCCCTGCTTGGCATTCGACATCTGATGACTGCTCTACTGGCTACCTGTAGCTGCTTCAGATAACAGGGCACTGCTTCAGAGCCATGGGTATTGAAGTAAAGATTTTCACCCAGAGATGACTCCATTCTTCCTTTCCAAAAAACAAATGTATGTTTTGGTGGGAGGAGAGGAAAGGCTGTGGAAAGACAGGAGACTCTAGCTTCAAGTGTTAATTGAATCTTTAGATTTTTCTTTCCTGGGAGAATAAAATCTTAACTCATTCTTGCCCTCTTTATGTGCCTTATCCCAAAGTCTAGGCAGTGTGTTTTCTCCAGGGAAGGGGTTTGCACAACTGGGCTTGGTGTAAGTAGCTATGAAAAAGACCCAAATAAGGGACACCTGCCTTGAGGAGTATGACACCCATGACACTTAACTTCTAGCTACCCTTTGGCTTGTGGCTCAGGAGTGGAGTGATTTCTCTAGGGATTAAATGTAAGAGAGACCTAAAATCCATGGGGTTTGGAGTGAAGCAGAGTTTGAATCAGAGACCTTGAATAGAATGCTTCTGCGCTCTGGATTTCAATTTTCCACTAAGAGCTATTTCAGGGTGTCCTTGAAAGAAGAAACTGAAGCAATATGGTGCTGACTTCTAGGTACTACAGAGCTGTGGGCCACAGGTGAAGGTGAGACTTGTAGAAACTGGGCATTACTGTCACTTGTTTTTTTCTTAAAGAAGTTGTATTTGATGTTTGATGCTGCATTTCATGGGAAGGAAAAAGTGAAGGGTAATTTCAGAACAGATTTTACAGATCAGTATTTAATAGTATCTGCTCTTTTTCTAATCATATATAAATAGACTCTATTGTATTGCAAGTTTTCAAAGGTCATGATATATTCTAATAGTAATGAAAATTTTGTCTGTGATTCTGCTTCCACCATGGATGTCACTTCTTTGACTCTGCCGGTCTCCATCTTAGCCACCTTCTTTCTCTTCCCATCCTGTCAGTTCTGACCTGACCATCTTTGAATGTTACCACTCTTACTGAAGAATTGAAATTTATGTGAGAAAAGGATACACCGTTGAGACTTCTAGCTTCCCTCTTCAACCTGTTTTTCAGTATTTCTGTACAGTCTGTTGGAGAAAAAAGGTGGTGTGGTGGTGGTGGTGCAGGGAGATGCGAAGCCAACCTAAATTAGGACTCTGAGCAGATTTCTCTGACCCTAAAATGAGTGAACTTGTGGCCAGCAAAGACCTGAGTTCATTTTGTTCTCAGTCAGAAGGTTATCCAAATGCTGTCTAGACATGTACTGAGGTAAATTTAAGTTCCAGCAAGTTTTTTTTTTTTTTTTTTTTTTTTTTTTTAG